AGTCTAAGCTAATTTTATACCCAACCCTTCCGCCTGCGCGTTCCCGACAAAAACCTCCCCCATTCGCTGCCACGCTCATTGGGAACTTTGAGACACGTCGTAAAAGTAATCCCGATTCATTTCCACGGGATTGCCTGTGTCGTTCTTTTCTCTATCGCCCATTCCTCGTCACTTCTATCCAACTTGCCGCCCCTCCATCGATGCGAAGAGTTAACGAGAAAAGTAATCCAATTTTGGTCCAGCAACGGGGCAACCCGATCGGGACGCGCGCAGTTGCTTGATATCGCTACAGTATTTCTGTTGTCCGAGGTAGAAATCTAAGAGTGAAATTTCGTTCAAAAAAAATATATATATATGGATATAATTGCACCTTGATTTACGTCATTTAATAATTTATTTGACGTCTCCAATTTAAGGAGCAAATACAAGAGCTTTATTAAAAAGTAATTTATTACATCTGTGTCATTATATAGTTCGCTTGTTAATATAAATTTTTTATTATAATTAATATACAACGTTAATAGTCACAGGATTTGTTCGCGTTGAAAAATGTTTGTACTGCACTCTCTCTGAAAAAAAAAAATATACTCAATCTTAATTAAATATTTAGTTCAATACTGCCAACTAAACATTTACTAACAGTAAATAAATATTTCTTCAGTAAAAAAAGATTGTTAAATCAAGTTAACATTTCTTGTATCAAATAAATATATCTTTATATTTAATAAATATTTAGTTGTCAGTATTCAACTAAATATTTATTAAAATTGACTATTTTTTTTCAGTGTGGAAAAGAGAAATTATACATATTTAGTTATTGAAGAGAGAAAAAAAGTGAAAATTCCAAGTGCAAAAAGTACAAGTAAAAAAAACATAAACAGATTTATATTTTATTAAATATAATTCAATGCACTTGCCAATTAATTAAATAATTACAATTAAATAATGAATTATTTATTTCTAAAATTATTTTTATAATAATCCTATTATAGCCAAACTAGACTATTTATAAAAGATAATCTAGCATGTATGTTTTTTACGCGATTTAAAAAATATTGTAATTTAATGTTATTAATTTAATACTTTGTTTAATAGAAAGTTAAGACAAACATTGCCGTCTATACTTCGACATTCTCGTACACGCATGAAAACACATACTCGTTGCGTTCCATTCCATAATAGAAGGAACTTAACGCAGGAAAAGCAATCTCGCGGGAAGAGACTCCGACAAAGTTAAGCTTCAGTTGCCGTCGCGCCTTACCGGTTTATTCGCGATACCCATGGGAAAATTGCGCACGATGACAAATCTGTGTGCTGCGTGTGTGCAAACGTTCCGGATCTCGGATCTCATCAGGGAGTTTAACTCAATTACGCACGTCTCAAAACGCGATTCCAGCGATTCAATCAGCTGTGTACTCGCCGGAACGACGATATCACGAGACGGTTTATCGTTCGAACGACAACTTCGCGATCTAGTGAGGCGCTATTAGGCGCTACTTAGTTATTCCGTAATACTAGATTCCGAGTAAACGAGAACAAACACGAATGAACAGCTTGCTTCAGTGAGAGCAAACTCCATAGCGACTACTGGCATCCGGAGGCACAAGTTGCTCATTTGTACTTGTTCGCGCTCGTCCGTTTGAAATTGCACCGGCAAACGCGGACTTGAAATTGTACACGGAAAGAACGATTTGCTGTGAAGTATCTAAAAATTTAGCTAGATACAAATCTGAAAATAATTTTGTTGGATCATTAAAATAATTAGGAATCTCAAACATAATGAACAATGCGGCAAAAAGTTTTGACATTCCAGCAATCAGCTTGAGTGTCCTTTATTTTGATAGTCTGACAAAACTATTTTCAGATCTGCATCCAGCTAAATTTTTAGATTTTTAATAAAACTAAAAATCCTATAACAGAACTGACCACAAGATGACAAATATTATTTTTAGATATCATAAGCGAACTCTTGATTATTTATCACTATAAATGATCGTATTGGAAGAATTATAGTGTGTAAAAATTAATTATAATTACACTGAGAAAAAAATGCTATTGATTCAATTAAAGTCTATATAACGGGCTGTCACTAACATAAGTAATTAATTCATGTATATTTTCATTGACATAAAGGCCTCGATTATTGAAATAATAATTTATGCCTTTATTATGTCAATAAAAATATACATGAATTAATCATTTATGTTAGTGACAGCTCGTAATATAGACTTTAATTGAATCAATAGTATTTTTTTCTCAGTATAATCAATAATATTATTATTATTATTAATATTAAACATCTAATTTAAAAGATAATAAAATTCTAATTTCACCACGTGCACACAATTTCGAGTTTTTTTGTCACGTGTGGCGGGCGCTCTTCGGCGCGCTAAGAGGATTAAAGAGACAACGTGAATCCGGTAATTACTCTGCGAGGCGCGTTGTAAAGGATTACGAACCGTAATTCTGCGGCGCGTACGGAGGTGTACGTTTTGAACGCGACTGCGAGAGCGACACCTCCGAATTTACCCTTCGTATTTCCGAGTGCCCTCGAGGAAGCGAGGACGCCCTCCCTTTCATTGGACGGATCGTTTCATCCCCAAAAATGTATGCGTTATTCCCGAAACACAGTCGAAGGAGAATCGGATGAGGGAGATGGGGAAAATCCTGCTGAATATTTCCTGTTTTGTGCTTAACAATGGCACTTATCTCCGAACGATTTCTATCGCGCCTACGAGAGCGATTTTCACTCCCATCCGCAGAATCTACGATGAATTTTAAAATGTTCTGACACGCTCGATTAACGCCTTTCCCGTTGCTTTACCTCGGCAATAAATACGACGATTTATCCGCGCGATTTATCTCACATTGTCTGTGCGATAAACTGACTGCGTGTTGGCATCGTGGATTTTTGTGGTATCTATTCTCTCACGATTATAAATACAATATATATAACCTAAATTGCAGATCGTTAGACAGTCTAAATTGTTATTAAGAGATTGAGAATGTAATAATAGTAATTCTTGAAAAATAAATACGTTATTAAAAATTAAAATTTTTTTACAATAAATTTTTTATAGTGTTTTAAGATTATTACTACTAATATTATTAAATTATATTATTAAATTGCCTATTTAATTTGTTATGTTATTATTCTAGTTTTAATTTAGAATTGTACGTTTTAAAACTGAAAATTAAATCGGTGCGCAGTTTACACTAGTTTACAGACGTGGATATAAATTCTAAAATAATATTAAGCATCAAGATCTAGGTTAGGTCGATTTTCTTATTTAGTCGTATTTAAAATGTATAAGAATAAAGAATTGGAGTTTAAATGGTATAATTTTATAAAAATATCACATTGCTTTTTGTTAAAAGTAACTTGTTATTATCACTCATTACTGAATAATTGTTACTTTTTTAAATGTTTTAAATAAAGCAAATATTGCTTTATTCATTTTTTGCTGCTTTGTTTCTTTATGGCTTTGCTAACTTTAGTCTTAAGCTATCACAGCCATGGGTTTTAGTGCATCGGCTGGAGCAAAAAAATCGGGAATAAAATAAAAAATTAGCAAAAAAATGTATAGTATAGGTCGCGTTTAATTGTACTAAAATAGCTGTGCCAGCTTAATAGACGTGATTGAATTTATTATCTTTATTTTTTTTAAATATAATGGTTACGTTACAAACAGAAAAAAGATGGTCGTTACCAAAAAAAGTAATGATAATAATAACTGCGATTGAAGTAACGTATTATTTCCCAATCCTAAACCTACTAAAATTATTATAAAAACCTACTAAAACTTCTCTATTTGTGCGAAGCGAATTGAAATGTTTATATTTCTAGTTAACAGTAGCGGCAAATTAGAACCTTTTCCAACGGAAACAGTAATTTCTGTACTTAATTTACGACTTGACACCTATTGATACGAATATGTGCAGAAGTGCGTTTCCTCTCACGGAAGGGAAAACAATGTTTCCGTCCATCTTCAAGTTCATTCTCCTCCGAACGTTCTGTGTACCTATGAAGACGTAGATACCCTCAGATTCTTAAAACTAAATTGCATTTACCGAAAGTCTCGACGAGCTTCTCGTACCAAGACTTTCCTCTTCTTCAAACACACTCGAGTCGCGGTATTTAGCCTGAAAACATTTCGTCTACTGTTGTCTTCCCTTTCGTTTCTAGTTTTCCTTTGACGGAGAAACCGATTGAGGAGTGAGAAATGGGACTTATGTTCTATGGAATTTCTCTTTTATCGTGTTCAGTTGACAATGCAGTCTTATGAACTTTATTAAGAAATTGGATTAATGTCAATAAATCGCTCTCTTATATAATTATGACTTTAATATTATAATACTTATAGATATTTAATTACTCTTTCGTACCTATAAAACCGGTCAAATTTTTTTATTAAACATAGATACTATCTGCTTATTAGATTTTGCAAAACAAAAAACAAAATCAAGGTTATTAAGTACTTATTATATGTTTACAAGTTTTTTATTGACGAAATTAAAAATATGATAGTAACACAATTACGCGGATCGTATTAGTTTACCGATCTCCGCTATAAAAGATACTTCACTTGATATTTTACCAAGTTCGACAAGATTTTGAGAAGAAGAAGAAAGATGTACAGGGTGTTGCAGATACATACTAGACAGTACGACGGGTTGCGCGGCAAATTTTGCATGGCCAAGCGTGGTTTAATAGACAATAACAGTGACTTTATACATTATACAATGACAGTGACTTTATATTATAAAGTTTATGTTATAAAGTCACTGTCATTGTCTATAAAACCGCGTCTGCCCATGCAAAGTTTACTACGCAACCCGTCGTACTGCCTAGTATGTATCTGCAACACCTTGTATACATATATCATTTTTTCCTTGCTTCAGATAGCAGAATTTCTAAATCTTGTCGAACGTGCCAATTCCCTCGCTGTCTTCGTCAAAGTATTTTTTACTAATCTATAATTTTTTTCTTTTGTTTATAGCGAAGGAGCTTAAAGTATGCGGCAGCGTGAGGAGCGGCGGCGAGGTGTGCTGTTCAGCCGACATGGAAGTGAGATTGCAGGCGCGGGCACGCGACAAACACGAAATGGCCACCAAAGAAGCTCTTCACAGAATGCAGCAGGTCCTGCACACGCGGGGAAACAGGTTCCACAGTGAGTAGCGCTTTCCGATTTCTTCGATAAGGGAAATCACTGCGCGTGGCGATGCCCGATAGGAATATCACGAGCTGTGCCTTTCTTTACCTCTTTTTCTGCCTGAATCGAAGAGTTGAATGAATGAACGAAGGGCAGCGAAGAGAGAACAAAGATTTCCTTTGTTGCTTATTATCGTTGGTGTCGAAGAAATTTTAAAGGTCCGATTTCATTGCTTTAACTGTTTATCAAGAAATCGATTTGTTCTAACTTTTCAAAAAATTAGAATGCCTAATGCCCATTTCTACCAATATAGATTAATTTTAATCTCGGTTCAACTTACTCTTCGTCTTTTTCTAATCTTTAGAACTAGAAAAAGACAAAGATTAAGTTGAACCGAGATTAAAGTTGATCTGCGTTGGTGGAAACGGACCTAAGAGAGACAACCAGAACTCCGCTTATTTTTTCCAATTTTGAAAAAGTGGGGTCAGCTTTATAGAAGTTTATATTTTTGAATATAAGACTTATTGTCTTTGATAGAAATCTTTTAAGATAAAGTAGGAAATTAAATTTTATATCTAATGTTTACGATTAACAAGTCCCTTGTGTCCCCGATACAAATCTTAGTGTAAACCGCCCCTTTACTTTCCACGCTCGCCTAACATTTTGTTCGCTTTACCTCGGCGAAACTTTTTAATCGCCTTATTCAAATCCTTTTAATCCACTTATTCGAAAGTAACGCGCTGTGCTCGTACATTCTAGAATCGGAAGTAAAGCCAATATTTCATAATAAGATACTCGAGTTTCCAACAGTTGAAAGAGCGAAATAGACAAGACTACTCTTCGTTTTGCACGTTCGAAGAAGTCTTTTGAAAGATTGTAATGTTTCTTTCACTTTAAGAACAACGTAAGATTGCAAAATAGGATTGAGTATGCAGGAAGGGAGAGATATTCAGAGATCACTGGAGAAACTTCTGCTGAAAAGAACAAGCGCTTTGTATTGTATATATAAAATGTAAATTTATACAGAAATGCGAAGAATTAAGAAGTAGTAACTAAAACGAATTTTACACAAGTAAAAACAAAGTAAAATCTCTCTTTCTTTTTTCTCTCTCTCTCTCTCTTCTCGCGGTTAAGTGTCTTTTTATCCTTGCCGCTCACTTGCCACCCTCGCAGTTTAATCGACCGGACGTCACTCGGAAGATCACCCTCGGTGAACATCTAGTCAGTGCTCCGGGCCAACTTTTTAACGGATGTGCTCGAAACAATGCTCGATCGAACCACACACTTGTTCGTCTTAAGCGTGGGCCTCCGGAGTAGGCGTAGGGATGAAGAGCGGGGATGAAACGAGATTTCAGGGATAACGGTAGCCATGGTTCAGCGCGAAAGTGGATGTTGACGACCTCTCGCTGCGGCCGCGCTCCTCCAATCCGAGAGCTCGACTTGCGAGGTTTTTTTCTAATTAAAGCGGAACCGCGGGCTGCATCGACGAGAGTTTTACAAGAGTTATATGAGGAGGACGTGTGCTCTTGATGCTGATACTGTTTTGTGCGCGCGCTTGAGGAGGCATCTGCATGCGGGCCATTGTTGAGTGTATCGACTCGGTTGCATCATATATGGAGGAAGAAAATAATGGTACTTGCAAAATGACATAAAGTCTTTTTTTAGGAATTAAAGAGATTTTAGGGGCGCGTTAAATTAAATAAAAAAATTTTTTTCTTGTTAAAATTGCCATGAGTGACTGTCGTTGAATTTCATTTATCGTAGAATTTGCGTTTTAAAAAACATTTGTATGTAATTTGTTTACTTATAAATTTTGTTATTTTAACACTAAGAAATGTTAAATATTGTTTAACAAAAAATACTTAAGTAACACATTCAGATTAATTATTCTTCGGATAGATTAAAAATTCAACACACTATTCTAACAAGGACTTGTATGGATCGTTTCGAACACAAATACAAAATATTTTGTACTTGTGTAGAAATCGTCCCGAGATCTCACGCAAGAAAAGAATTCATCCAGAGAAAGGTTTCTTCGATTTAAAGAAATATTTTTTTGCTGTACGGTTAAAGAAAAAATTTCTTTGATTTCAACGTCATTTCTTTGATTTAAACATTATTTTTTTAAATCAAATAAAAAATGTATTTGATTTAAAGAAATTATGTTCAAATCAAAGAAATTTTTTCTTTAACCATATAGTGAAGAAACATTTTTTTAAATCGAAGATACTTTTCTCTGGGTGTTGTCCAATCTCATTAGTCAAATTGTTCAAATACGAATTGTTAATTCTTTTTTTATCTGAGATCTCAAAGCGATTTCTAGCATCGTGGACACAAAGTTTAAGCTACTGAAGCTACTATGGCGAGAAGTTTGAAAGAAAATTTTACGAGTTTTGGTATCCATTAGTATAGCTATAATCGAGGGGATGGGCGGAATAAAGGCCTAATTTCAAAATCTTGATATTAATATAAATTAAAATAACTGCTACTTTTTTATTATACACAAATGGATACATTATTAAATGAATTTATGTATAATGTCTTTAAAAAGTTGCATGTTATACAATACTTCTGTATTACGATCAATATTACATGAAAAAGCTAATTGCCGGTAAAAGGGCCTAAGTAGAATTACACCTTTATTCCGCTCATCCCATCAATTATACTATGTTAAATGCACTATTCACAAAAAATTCCTGATATTCCGGCAATTATTTGGCATAATCCTGTATTCTTGAGCACTATTTTGTATTAATCACAGAACGGAATTTTCTTGACTGAAATTTATAGTTGGAAATTGCGAAAGCAATTTTGTTGGAAATAGGAAATGATATTTTTGTTACAAAGATATTAGTTACAAGGAAATATGCCGGCTAACGGGAAAAAAAAAAGCGAATACGAATATCCCATATATTTCGCCGAATACGTTTGGCAAGGATGAAACTACCGCCATGCTGCAAATAAAAGCGTCTTTATTGATTTGTTATTCGGCGATTTATAGGGAGAATCTGTCATACCTTCGCTCACGTAAATTACGCGGGGGATCATCAGGATATCCGCTGTTTCCTCTGTATTCGTATGCTTCTGACGGTATCTACCTTCCCCAAAGTGTTTCCGCATATTCGCATTTACATACACCTTTTAGATATCCGAATCCTGGGGTCGGGATTCGCCTGAAATTTGATTTGCCCGAGTTTGCACGACGTTTGCTACTACAGACAACTTAATAACGAAATAGTATACAAGTAAATATAATACATATTCATATCGCGCAATCAGATCGTCATTTATCCATTTTCTTAATTTACTTCTAAATTTTATTTTATTCTCTCTTATTGGTATATAAAAATTATTTGTATCTACAGAGAGTTTGTATTTTTTTCTTGTTTAAATGGAAAATTAAATGGAAAAATTGATTGTGTTAAAGTCTACAAATTTAGCTAGCTACTAAAATAATTATGTAACAAATATTTTAATAGTCCAGTAACCAGCTTGATTGTCCTATATAATCATTTTGATGATTCAGATAAAAAATTATTTTTGGATCTGCTGAATTTTTAGCATGCAACTTCAGCAAAACCGTTCTGTATCCGTTTAGTATTCTATCGACTAAATTATAAAACTATTTGCACAGAGGTAAGGAATTATGCTTTTAAATTGCGTATCAATATCAGCTTGCCGCTGGTTTGCGTCCTCGTTATATCTTTTGTTAATATCCGTCAAACATCTGTAAGTCCGGAGACATCTATCTTTGTGTGCCACAAACAAATGCGATTGCATCTAGAGCACCGTCTGCTTCGGTGCAATTAATAGTTGAATGTTGAATGAGAGTACGCCATCGTAATTAGCGTAGGTAGCGTTAACAATTCGTACAATACGCGAATGCCTTCGGAATGCCTGTGTCGAGGACGATAATTATTCGGACTCTCTTGAAACCGTTTCGAACACTATCCGTTACCGTGAACGCCAGCTGCGTGCCTCGAAGAGCAACTACTTCGAGCAAGAACTTCTCCGGGGACATTATCGCGTATAATAGAACGCGGTCTTTGTACATTTAAATAATCTTGCATAATGATATTTCTTCACTCGTTATTTTACAAAGCGCAATTTTTTTTAGCAACAAGCATTAGGTGTCTTATTTTATAAAGAATGTTAAGAATAATATCAAGAAATCTTTGGATATAAAATGGAAAATGAGATCGCTGTAAAATATTCAACTGCAAAGTATATTATAATAACTTGGCCACAATTAGCAGATTTAATATCGGTCGTAAAAAACCGTAATTGATTAGATTAGAAACCTGAATGCATAATCGTGGTTTTCACAAGACTTACTGTTATTTGTAGAAAATCAATAAATATGACAAATCATATTAATTCTTGCAATACAGAGTATAGGGGAGGATATATATTCCAAAAATATCGAAATATTCTTAATCTTTTAATCAAAATTTAGGAAAAAAGATATATTTTGTAAAAAATTTACAATTTTAGATTAATACGCATCTTTCGCTATTATACATGCATACATATTCTTAGAATGTTAAAAAATATATTATACTATATATATGTACAACAAGATAATTTATGACGTTAAAATTTAACATTATAAATATGAAGGCAAAAAATAGAATAATAGATGAAAATTCGTTATTAAAAGATTTTTTTTCACTGTCTTCTTTATTAAATAATTTTTTTTTTTAAATAAAGAGAACATTTTCAAGCAACTTTGTATGTATGTATAATAGCGAAAGATGCGTATTAATCTAAAATTGTAAATTGTTTTACAAAATATATCTTTTTTTCCTAAATTTTTATAATTAAAAGATTAAGGTCCGTTTCCACCAACGCAGATCATCTTTAATCTCGGTTCAACTTACTCTTTGTCTTTTTCTAGTTCTAAAGATTAGAAAAAGACGAAGAGTAAGTTGAACCGAGATTAAAGTTAATCTATATTGGTGGAAATGGGCATAAGAATATTTCGATATTTGGGATATATATCCTCCCCTATTCATATAAAAAAACATATACATATCCTGTATATGTACATTTTGTATAAATAATGGAGGACTCATGTTTCTAGTAAAGGTTATATGTACGAACTTCTATCTAGCGAAGTGCCAACTAAAGTGGGTACCAGGTGCCAAAGTTGGACGGTGGCATCTCAAAGGGGCTTCGGCCATAAAAGCCGACGTGCAGCGGAAAAGATGAAAGACCGATGAGAAGGTGCCTGCCTTCGAATAATTTCGTTAACCGGGATCGTTAGACACCGAGGATGCTTCCCAAGGGACATGCCCTAATTTCCGCGCTAATTGCTGACACCACGGTCTCGCGAGTAAGATCAAAGATATCGATCGAAATTATCGTTCTCGCGTAATGGACATTGATTTGGAAAGGCTTTTAGAAATTATGAAGATTTTAAAATGGAACTTCAATTTCAACGTGCATGACTGTCGGAGAAAATGTAGGTTATATTAATTTATCGATATCAATTCAATTTCGTCGAAATATTTCTTTGTAATTAAACATTAATATTTCTGCAGAAAATTTTAAACGATTTCAAATGTGATGCTACATTTCCATTTATAATCATAATACTTTAATCTTAAATTCAACGTCGAGATTTAATTTTATTCGACATTAATTGTAAAATGTTACATTGTCATAATTCATATATAATTGTTTTAACTCGTATGTTGAAAGGTATAACGTGACATTTACAACCTACTACCTTTATCTGTATTTATTGTATCAGCGTGTAATCTGTCATGCTGAAAGTTTATTCCCGCAACGAGTATAAAGCTGTTAAATAATCTAATAATAAAATTCCGCTGGTACTTTGAATGTCATGTCAGCGTATTGATGTTGAAATATGAGGAAACTGTCATTGACTCAATTCCGGCCGCAACTCTCGATGAACAAAGCGCAACGCGGTACGGTGCGCTTGTAATGCAACGATAAGCAGCGTTTTTTCACCCCCAATTCGCCGCCACCCACGGTTCTCGCTCACCGACGAATAACCCCCTTATCGTCACTTCCGCCGGGGGAATGTGATTAAAATTCCTTTTAGCGACGAACCCGGCTCCCTTTTCTGTCGCGAGTCCACCGGAGGTGTAAAAAGCACAGACGCCAATCCACGGCGTGAGGGACGGGACGAACGGAGAAGCAGCCAGGACTGTTGGGTATTTGCCGCAAGTTCGTTGGGCTTTTAATTCGCAATACGAACCATCCTTTCCCGTTCTACGCTGTCGACGACTCGTACCTTGAAATCTCGACTAATTTCCCGTTTCGCGCTCGACCGCGATTTTCCGCTGGGAAGGACGTCAAAGCGCCGGGAAACTCGTCGCAATAAGCCATCTTGGAATTTCTTTCGTGTTACGTCACTTTATTGATTATATAGATACAAGGAACAATAGAAGTATGATAATTTTAAGTGATAAATTATATATGTAAAGGAAGCTGATAACACGATGATCAAAAATTATCAAAGTTTTATTTTATGAATTTAATAATCTCGGTCAGAAGATTTTCGAGTTCGAATTTTGAAATATTTTTCGCAATAAGTGCTTTCAGCGATTTAAGATGCTAATAGCATTATTGTCAAATCGATGAGAATTTAACTGTGATATTATTATTCAGCTTCACAGTTTATAATCGCATTTCAAATCTAATAGTATAATAAAGCATGTGCAGCTTATACAACTAAAAGATACATAATAGAATTTACGTGTAAAAATATTATTACACTGAAAAAAAAGATAGTTAAATCAAATTAATGGTTTTTGTATTAAATATAAATATATATTTACATTTAGTAAATAGTATAACTATTCAAACAAATATTTATTTCGGTGCTGGAAAGCACCAACATCTAGTCTCGACTGAATTGGTTCTTTCTTTGTTTGATATATAACATATAACAGTCTAGATTAACTTATTATTATTTATAAGCCGCAATACAAACAGAATTATGACTCGCGTTTCTTATCATTTGCAGGTTTTTTCAAGGAGCTACTGGATGGCAGCAAGAAAGGTTTTCACGAGATGTTCAAGAAGACCTACGGTATCCTTTACGAGCAGAACGCGTACGTCTTCACGGACTTTTTCAAGGAGCTGGAGAATTATTACGCGAAGGGAACAGTGAGTACCTTCTCTCTCCCTCTTTATCCTCCCTTGGAATTTGATTATCTCGACGTTAAAATGGCGCAACTACGATTTATTTCACTCTTTGCTGAGAATTCCATCTATAAGGGTCGGATCCCGATCAATTTATGTTAGAACAGCGTCTGCGTTGTTCAACCTCTCCTGGTACTCGCGAAAGGGAACACTTCTGAAATAGAGTATTACCGGAAAATTTGGAATTATGGCACCCGTAACGCTGAGCTATTCATTTACCTCTCGTTTGATGTCGCACGAGGTGCCTCCGGTGAAAATTGCAATCGCGCGTTAATTTTCCCGTCTTCTCTCGGTCCCTCTTCACTCCCCCTTGGCGCCCAGTGTATTAAGCGCGAATAAATAAGACGGTGAGCTGTGAAGAAAATTTCTGGAGCTGCCAAGCCAAGCCGTGTCTCGGGATCTAAAGTTTATTACAAGCCGTTTTCCGCGCAATTACGCTCGACGACACCTTCCTCTCAGAATATCATCAAGCGAGATACGTAAGGAAATACGAGATACACTCAGAGATGTAGAGGGTGCGATATATCCTTCGAAAATATCGCGAGCATATATACGGAAAAAAAAGATTAGTTGCAGCAGCAAAAATTTGCGTGTAGTAGCTAAATTCCAGTCATAATATATGGATACCTAACGTCGTATCTGCGAGGTCTAATTTCCATTAGCTGTGAGGCCTATTATCATTGTAACAGACAAGCATTTTGCTATTATGTCGATCTATTAATCATTGCAGCAAACGTTTTCTCTGTAGCAAACAATTTGGTAGCAAGTACAGTTTCAGTAAACCATATTTAGCTGTGGTAGAGACAATTTTCTTTTACACTGACATATCCGATAACTATGACAACTAACTTCATGCTGCTAAATAAATTGATCTGTAACAAACATACTTTGCTATTACGTCCTTATATTAGCTACAGCAGCAAATCCTTTGTACATATAAGCAAATTTCATAGCTATAGTAGCTAATGCAATTTCAGCTAATCAGAATTAGCTGTAGTCAGCAACATTTTTTTTTCCGTGTAGGTAGTTGAGGCAATTACTCGAAGAGCGGTAATCTCTTTCTAGTTTAAAACGAACAACGTGGTAAAGGCGATGCTGCTATTGGTGATGCTGCTTCCTGTAATTCGACAGATGTCACGGTATCTGAATCTTCTCTCAAAGGGAAAAAATTTATATCCCATTCCACGCGATTCCTGACTAGGATATCCCAAGTTATCCCTTTTAATATCGATCTATAGATTATAACAACGTGACATGACGCTGTGCGTTACATTCCATTTAATTTTTCTTACAACAGCGTCGCGACAAAGATATCGCAAAATTATTACCAAGATTATTTAGAAAAGAAACAAACGTATTTTTTTTATAGTAAAGAGATCTAGACGTACTAATATCGCTTAATTCTTTTTGGATGGACGGCTTTATTTGGATTACCCCCTTTAATTTTATAAAGCACTCGTTCGATTTTTATGAAAAATTTGTTTGGCTATGGAGTAGTTTAATGATTAATAAAACAAATAATTTGAAAGGCTACGAGCCAGAGATACAAAAAAAAAATATATATATTTTAAAAAATTATAAATATAAAATATTACAACAGACAAACAAACGTTTCGACGCCGATCGGGTCACATTCTCAATGTTAACAAAAGTTTAAATATTAGAATATTACAAACTATATAAGATTTCTATATAACTTAGGGTAACTCCGGTATATACGCCGCACCTATCAAAAACTTCATTTATTAAGTATTATTTACTATGTTTAAAATAAACGAACTATATCAGTAAAAACTTTGTACTGTTTATTACTATGAAAAAAATATTAGAAATCCGAAATATTTAGTTTTCGTATTAAAAAAT